AATAAATGCCGAATATTATCGCAAAAATATTCTGGAGGGTGTATTAAAGCCTTGGGCACGCAAACATTTTGGTCGCAGACCCTGGACATTCCAACAGGACTCAACACCATCGCACTCATCACGCGCCACCCAAGAATGGTTACAAAATTAGGTTCCTCGCTTCATTTCCAGCGCACAATGGCCTCCACAATCTCCGGATACCAATCCTTGGGCTATTGTGTCTGGAGTATTTTGGAAAGCGAGTTTGGCACTAAAAAATACCAAAAGTGGCCGGGAATGGGCCAAAAATACCAAAGAGCAACATTCGGGCAGCGTGTGACGTTTTCATTGGCGTTTGAAGGCCATAATTCGTGCTAAAGATGACCAATCTAAACTTATTCTAAAAAATATGGCTTTTGACTTTGTTGCAGTTTTTTATCTCACCCTGTATATATATACAACATCATTATTATTATTATTATTTTTTTTTTTTTGAAAAATGTCATTCATTTTTAAAGATGGATTATATACATACGTATACAAAAAAATCGTTTTTCACAAAATATGCATAGAACTGTGTGTGGGCAAAAAACATAGGATATAATCTTTCGATATGATGAAAAACAGATTAAAATTGCTTCAACAATGAATGGCATGTAAAACAAGCATGAGTGGGTGGGACGAGGGGTAGGTGGCTGCCGTTAGACAATAGAAGAATGCAAAGTCCAACAGAGCAAAATAAGGGATTTCAACAGAAAAAAATAAAAATAAAAAACAAACACAAGTAAGCCACCATGCAAAACAATAGAGAGATTTTAGAAAACAAAAGTTTGAGGAAAAAAAAGAATACTTTCTCATTTAGAATTACACAAACAAACAAACAAAAAGGAATGATAATGATGAATCTGCTTTAAAGGGTAACTAAACACATAGCTATCCTACAAACGATTTAATGCAAAAAAAAAGGATTAATGCTTCTCCATTTCGAAGAGAAATGCTGGCATTATGTTTTTTTTTTTTTTTTTGAAAATTCTCTTCCCTCGTTCTGTCTGCTAGAAGAGCACTAGAAAAGATTTCTAAATCGCCAACAAAAGCCCACCGCCACTGACATGCGCAGTAGATATTTGGAAAAAGAAATGCTTGAGGATTTTATTTTTGTTGTTGTCAGTGGGGTAGCTTGTATTCTAAATGCTATTTTAAATTGGATTTCCCATTTGGTAAAGATTTAATAGGTTTAATGAAATTTAAGTGGCAATGAGCAAGGCAACTTGAACAAATAATGCATGTAGCCAGCCAGGCAGCAGCAGCATATGTACTTTCTCAAGGGCTAATGTGGAGAAGAGGACGAGAGAATGTCAGCAAAAACGAGAGAAGGTGGTTTAATTGCGATAACAATGGGGGTATTTTAAATTAAGAAAAGTAAAAACAACTTTTCTATGAAGATTTACCAATATTTTTAGGGATTAAAATACACCTTTAAATGTGGATTCTCAACAAAATTTTCCTGGAACCAAAATAGCTCTAAATGCTCTCCGCCATTGTGAATTTCTAAAATATATTTTTTCGAGGATCAGAAAAACATATTTTAATGGAGAATATATTTTTTAAGATTTTAAGAAGTTTTTGTTCAAGGAGCGACACAGCGCAAAACGGAATTTAAAAATAATATTTTAATGGACTATCAGAGTCATAAACATGGAGGAGAGCGCCAGGCCAATCCAGTTCAAAATACGGATGATTAGATCAATTTAAGGAAAACTGTTAAAAATTATTTTGCTGTTGTTATTTATTGTTGGCTTGGTAGATTTTAATATGTTTTATTTTATATTTTTATTATTTCCTTTTTCTAACTAAAAAAAATGTTTTTAGATTGTTTTTTTGCGGATCAACAAAATTCCAAATAGTTGTCAACTAGGGATTTTTAATATTTTTTTTCGTATGCAAATGCACCTCTAATCGAGGATTTTTAGAATATGTTTTCTAAGACTAACACATTTTTAAGCTTAAATTGGAATTCAAGAATATTTTCTTAAAATCAATACAGCTTGAATTGAGGATTTTTTTAAAAATATTTGTTTGGATTCAAACGAGGATTTTTTTAAATATTTTTCCTCCTTCAAACCAGGATATTTTAATTCCCTTCATTTTTGTAAGGAGTGTATATTAAGTTTGTCATTCCGTTTGTAACACCTCGAAATATACATTTTAGACCCTACAATGTATATATAAATTCTATGTCGATTTAGCGATGTCCGTCCGTCTGTTGAAATTACTCAAGCTTCCGAACGAAATGAAGTAAATAAATAAATTTTACTCAAATGTATATTATGTCTGCAGGGCTTTTGGCATTGAAATGGGTCATGTAGGTCCACGTTTTTGAATAGCCCCCATAAAATGGAACCTCCCTATTTTCGGTATTTTGATGATTTTAGTCACATTATTCACCGGAATTGTTTCAACTTTGGTATTTGAAGTTCGAAATGGATACTACAGCCTATGACAGAAAATTATCTGTGCAGGTCCACGTCTTCGTATAGCCCCCATACAACAGTTCCTCCCGATATTCGGTATTTTGATGATTTTAGCGTCATTATTCGCCGGAATTGTTTCAAATTTAGTACTTGACGTTCGTAATACATACTACAGCCTAAGACAAAAAATTATTTGTGCACGTCCACGTCTTCGAATAGCCCCCATATAACGTTACCTCCCGATATTCGGTATTTTTGATGATTTTAACGACATTATTTACCGGAATTGTTTCAAATTTGGTATTTAAAGTTGGTAATGGATGCTACAGCCTACGACAGGAGATTGCCTGTGCAGGTCCACGTCTTCGTATAGCCCTCATATAACGGTACCTCCCGGTATTCGGAATCGTTTCAAATCTGGCATTTGAAGTTTGTAACGGATAGTACAGCCTAGGACAGAAAATTATCTGTGCAGGTCCACTTTTTGGTATGGTCACCATATAATGGTACCTCTATACATCCGGTATTTTGATGATTTTAGCTACATTATTCACCGATTTTTTTCAAGTTTCGCATTTGAATATTGTAATGACTTATGAAAAAAGTTGCATATGCAATGCAGGTCCACGTCGTATAGACCCTAATATAACGGCTACATTTGGTAGTTTTAAGATTTTAACAGAATTTTTACGAATTTTATTTATTATTATTATTATTTTTTTTTTTTTTTTGAAAATTGCCAAATACGTACGTCCCAAATAGTGGAGGGATTCAAAGTTCAAAGGTGAATTTTTTAAACGTTTTTCCAACCCAGATTCAGACGTGGATTTTCTCAAAGCATTTTTTTCAATCCAGATCAAAACATTTTTCCAACCCAGATTTAAATGTGGATTTTTTTTTTTTAAATTTCCAACCCAGATTCAGACCTAGATTTTTTTAAACATTTTTCCAACCTAGATTCAAATGTGAATTTTTCAAAACAATCTTCCAACCCAGATTAAAATGTGGATTTTTTCAAAAATATTTTCCATCTTCAAATATTTTTCCATGATTAAATTTTAAATATTTTTCCATGACTAAATGTGCTTCAAACTTGCATTCCAGCTTTAAACCTGGATTTAAAAAAAATCAGACTCTAACGAGATATTTTCAAAACATACAGAACCCCAAAAAATTGTTTTCTAACTTCAAATCCTGCTTCAAATGCGATTGTTTCGAAATATTTATCCATTTCAAAATACAAAATTGCAGCCACTTCCCTTGACAAATTACCTTCAAATCTCATTAAAACTATTGGCAACAATTAATGGGGCATATGTCAAAATTTTAACCAATATTGAAGTGTTTTATTAGGTAAAATTTTTATTAAATTAAACCCCAAAAATTATTATAATTTTTCACAAAAAAAAAATAATTTCTCAGAATGTATTTTCTGTAGCTTCCCAGAATAAAATAGGTCCTATTCTACTTCACAAAGCATAGAAATCCTTATTTAAATAATAAAGAATGCTATAAATAAAATTCAAATTGTATATCCTTATTATACAGCAGTTTGTGTGGGCAGGCGTCCTTAAATTTCTTTGAATTGCTTGCTACACGACTTTTTTCTGGGAAACATATTTTGCTATAAAAGAAAAATTCCTAGAAGAAAAATCTGTCAATGAAAGGCATCATGATGATCGTCGGCGCCGACTGAAAAGGGAACACAAAAAGGATGATTCCTGGCCCAAACAACAAACCTTGATTAAAGGCAAACTTTAAAAAAATCCAAATAATGAAGGACATAGAACTCGCTATCGCCGTTCTATGTTCGAGGAATACATACAAAAAGCAACGCTGGGTTGGAAGAAACTAAAAAAAGCAAAAACTACGGAGAAAGCAGCCTTGACGACAGCATGGAATAAATTACAATCAACAGTTGATATGGCTGATGAGTTTTTTTTTTTTTTTTTTTTTTGTGTTGTCGTCGTTGTAATATTAGGCGTCGAGATGCCAACCATTCAGTTGGTCCGTCTGTTTGGAAAAACCACAAACGGAAATACTGGGCATTAGCACTGAAGTGGAACACAATTGAAAAGGGAGGAAAAATCAATAATTCTTTTAATATATTAAGCCAAACGAAATTATAATGAAAAGGGAAATTATAAAAAAATGCGGCAGAAGATAAATAATTTCAAAGGACAAAATTGAGGACATCCCAGAAAATTTTCTATCAATAAAAGTTATCGAAGAAAAAAAACGGCATTTGCACAAAAAAAACTATTTCGATTCTCAGAACAAAATTATTTTTTATTTTCAAAAATTTATGATTTTTAATTTTATTTTCAAATTTTCAAAACAATTATACCAAGGACCTGCTTCGAAAAGAAAATGTGACAAAAGAGAAATAATTTCAAAGGACAAAATTGAGGACATCCCAGAAAATTTTCTATAAATAAAAATTATCGAAGAAAAAAAAAACGGAATTTGCACAAAAAAAAACTATTTCGATTCCCAGAACATTATATTCAAAAATTTAAAAAAAAATTGAAAATATTTGCTTGTACTTACTTTGTTTGTTAGTTGTCTAGCAAAATATACGCAGTTACTGTAAAATCAATATAGAAATCGGGAGAATGTGCCTTTGTTAAATCCAAATAGATTGTTTGTACTGTAACGAAACAAGAGAACAATGATTAAAATAATTGAACAACAAAAAAAACAATTAGAATTATTGAAAATTGGAAAAACAGCCATAAGTGATTCAACAAAGAAAATGTTGAGCAAAGCAATCATGTTATCAGGAAAATCGGAATTTATATAAAACAGAAAATATTTTATAATAAAAAAAAATAACAGGCGATGGTCGATCTCCGCTCGTATTAATCGACCGTGGCATCAGAATAAATTCCGAATATTAACGCGAAAATATTCTGGAGGGTGTATTAAAGCCTTGGGCATGCAAATATTTTGGCCGCAGACCTTAGACATTCCAACAGGACTCAGCAACATCGCACTCAGCACGCGCCACCCAAGAATGGTTACAAAATGAGGTTCCTCGCTTAATTTCCAGCGCATAATGACCTCCAAAATCTCCCGATACCAATACGTTGGACTATTTTGTCTGCAGTATTTTAAAAAGCAAGGTTAGCACTAAAAAAAATACCAAAGTGTCGATCACCTCAAGCAAGCGCTTCAAGCAAATTTCATTCAATTTGTTACAAATATTCTAGAATTTCGAATTCAATACTCCAACCCCTAACACATATTTTCCTTCCAAACAGAATCAAACAAAAACCAATTAAGTCTATGATTTATTTTTCGTGCGTATGACCCACAAATGGCGTAGAGAACAGACAGACAGACGGACGGCCGAAAACCGAAAAAATATGAATTTAGTTTTCCCATCCACTGATCGCCACCATCCATCCATCCATCCATCCATATGTCATAAATAACTTGACTAGACATTTGGAAAAATACAATTATATACCAGCAGCCAACATGGAATATAGCAACAAATATTGTTTCTATATAGACTTGGTAAGACAAAATAAACAAGGCTTCTTATCTCTCGCCCTCTCCCCCCCTCTCTACGAATATGCGGCACGAGTCGCCGCCATCTGAATTATAGAAAAACTACGTCATTGCAGCAGACAACAAATATCGTATAGAGAAAAAAAATTAGGTCAAATAATTTGGTATGTTCTAGTTTCATTTTTTTTTTTTTTTGGTTATAACAAATCCAATACCACAACTGACAGACGGAGATAAATATGGAAAGAAGGCTACAACAAAGTAAGCAAATATCTAGGAGCCATGTTTTGTTAAGTAAAAAATAAAAAATAAGTATAAGTTTCAGAGAATAACCAGTAAAGAAAGTCCTAAAGTCGGGCGGGGCCGACTTTTTGATACCCTACACCACATTGCTAATTAAGTAGAACTCTACGTAACAATTAAAAGTTTTTATGGGAGAATTCAATCATACACGCTTAATTATAATTATAATTTAAAGTTCAAAGTTTAAATCTTTTAAATTCGGACTTGTATTGCCCCTTTGGTGCAAAATTAATTTGAAATCTAATAAAGATATATAAGGGAGCTATATCCAAATCTGAACCGATCTCGATAAAATTTGGCAAAGATATTTATGAGCTGCATTTGATATATTTCCATGAATATCGTTGTTACGAAGTGCATATTACGGCTGTGGGTAACAAATACTAGAAATCGGATGAACGATATATATGGGAGCTATAGCTAAATCTGAACCGATATTCACCAAATTTGGCATACTAGCTTCTGGACTCAATTCGGTCGTAAGTGCCAAATTTCATCCCATTTGGGCAAATATTAGACGTTTGGTGCACAATAAAAAGTAAATCGGACTAAGTTATATATGGGAGCTATATCCAAATCTGAACCGATCTCGATAAAATTTAGCAAAGGTATTTCTGAGCTGCATTTGATATATTTCCATGAATATCGTTGTTACGAAGTGCATATTACGGCTGTGGGTAACAAATACTAGAAATCGGATGAACGATATATATGGGAGCTATAGCTATATCTGAACCGATATTCACCAAATTTGGCATACTAGCTTCTGGACTCAATTCGGTCGTAAGTGCCAAATTTCATCCCATTTGGGCAAATATTAGACGTTTGGTGCACAATAAAAAGTAAATCGGACTAAGTTATATATGGGAGCTATATCCAAATCTGAACCGATCTCGATAAAATTTAGCAAAGGTATTTCTGAGCTGCATTTGATATGTTTGCCCAAATATTGTTGTTACACAGTGCATATTACGGCTGCGGAGGACAAAAATAACAAATCGGATGAAACATATATATGGGAACTATAGCTATATCTGAACCGATTTCGGTCAAATTTGGCATACTTATATTATATTATATATATGGGAGCTATATCTAAATGTTTACCGATTATCTCCAATTTCAATAGGGTTTGTCCTTGGGCCAAACATGCATAAATCAACTCAGAAAGTGATTCTATGGAGACTATGGGTCTATCTCGCTTCCTTTTCCATGTTACAAACAAATGCACAAAGACATAATACCCTTACAACTATGTGGTGTAGGGTATAAAAAAATTATATTGAAGGAAAAATGAGGTACCGCTATATGGGAGTTATACAAAAACGTGGACCTGCATAGACAGCCTGTCACAAACTGTATTTCCATTACGAACTCTAAATACGTAATTTGAAACTACTCCGGTGAATAATGACGCTAAAATCATCAAAATACCGAAAATTCGGAGGTACCGCTATATGAGGGCTATACGAAGACGTGGACCCGCACTTACAATTTTCTGTCATAGGCTGTAGTATCCATTACGAACTTCAAATACCAAATTTGAAACAGTTCCGGTGAATAAGGCATTATTCTTTGCTTACTAGTAATGCAGAAAGGATATGTACTTCTCAATACAAATCATGCAGAATGTGCCACATATACCTGTAGAATTTCTGCTGGGTAGGAAAAACTGATTTTCACAAAAATTGTAAATTTTATCCATCATAGCCTTATTATAACTTTTCGCTTGAAAATGATTAATATTTCTTCCCACATTTTTCCTAGCACTACTTGGCAACCCACGCCTACATACTATATTTTCTCTCTCTCTCTCTCTCTCTCTCTCTCTCTCTCTCTCCCCTTCCCAGTCTCACAGTGCGTCGTTGTTAAATAGTATTTCAATGCTCTACTGATAATGAACACAACATTTTGAAATCGTTGCTGTTGCAGCCGCCGCCGCCGCTGCCGCTCTAGTACGGACGGAGTACAGTTGGGTATACCTTCTTTTCGTGCCATTGATAATTCAAAATGAATATTGTTTATAAAGAGACTACTCACTAAGTGTGTGTGTGTGGGGGAGGTGGGAGATGGTGAAAGTGAGACAAAGGCAGCCACAAGTCACTCAAAATACCAAAGAAAATGATGTTATGCAATTTGTTTTTCAGCAAAAATGAAGAAAATAAACAAAGTTCGCAAGATATTGAGACGATGGAGGGGGCGAGATGTGGTAGGTGAGGGGCCACAAAAAAAAACGACAATTGTTCGTCGACGTTTTGATCAAAAGATCGCATCAGTGCACAGTTATCAGCCAATCAATAATTCGCAATGACTTTTAGTTTACAATGTCCCAATAGAAAAAAAAATGAGGGCAATTAATGGAAGTAGGTATCTAGAAGAATCAGAAGTATACGCTTATTTCTTTAAGCCCCAAAAGTATTTGTGTTCCAAATATGAATGTGGAGCATCTCCATGGGTATAATTTTCAACTAACTGTAATGTTTGTATTAGTTATAAATAAAAATAGGTACATAGCAATATTGACATTTTTGTTGGGGGAAAAATTACAAAATTGGTAAAATGGTTTCGAGAATATGCCCCCAGGGAACTCCACTATCAAATAAGCATTGTTTTCATAAAAAAAACAATAGTAGTGGGAATAACCCTGACTGGGAATGGAAATAATTCCTGAGCTAAATGTTAATCACATAATGCTACTAGGACGGACCAAATCCTTCCAAGTTTTGAGATAAATAAGAAATTAATAAATAATCATGAGGAAGAAGACGTGTTGATCCTTACAATACTGCAATGTTTTGTCTTCTATAATTAATTTAATAAATAATAACATCTTGGAATAATATCCATTTTACAAACATTTTTAACTCCCCATCCCTGATAAACACTGAAAAAGAGATTTCAGTGGACTCATCAGTGTTCTAAAATAAGAAAGAAGAGGCTGATTTGTCACAATACTTTTTATATCCTCCATCATTCTATGGAGGAATATATAAGCTTTGCCATCCCGTTTGTAACTCCTCGAAATATTCACTATAGACCCTACAAAGTATATATGCAGGGTGAGATGAAAAAACTGCAACCAACTTCAGACTGCTGTCATGTCTAAGCCACTCGTCCGACAGCTGTAAAATTATTCCAGTGACAGCTCATTATATTGTTTAGAAGCGTTCAAAAGCATTTTGGTGAGAATTTTCCAGAAAACAAATTATTCGTGATGTAATTCAAGCGTGATAGTGTGATTTCTTTATATTTGGCTGGAAAACCACAACTGGCTATGGTTAGAGCACTCCAGCATTTAGTGTGGATAAATCTTTTGTGTTTCGTACCATCGCTCGTTACCGTGATACTAGTAGCGTAGCCCGACGTCAAGGAAGTGGACGGAAGAAAACAGCAACATCAGCAGAAATGGTTCGAAAAAGATGCGACTTGATCGAAACCCGCGTTGCAGTGGCCGAAAAATGGCTCATGAGCTAAAAATATCGCAATATTCCATTCGGCAAATATTGAAGAATGAGCTCGGGGTAAAGCCGAAAAACGCAAGAACTTACCCCGCAACAGAAATAAAATAGACTCAAAAGAGCTAAAGGGTTGCTTCGCTTGGCCGAAAGTGTTGAACTGCCGAATTTGGTTTTCTCCGCTGAGAAAACATTCATTATACAGCAGATGGTAAACAAACAAAATGATCGTGTTTACTTGCCAAAGAGGTCAGCTGAAAATTTGCACCTTCGTTTGGCCACCAGAACTCAAGCGCCGGTTATGGTGATGGTGTTTGGGCCGCCATAACAGCCGATAGTCGCTCTCCCCTCGCATTAATCGACCGTGGCATCAGAA